AAACCTAAAAAAAACTAACAAACCAAACCTTGGCCACAACCAGGACTTAACATTAGCTTACATCAGGTTGATTACACCTTCCAAAGATTTCCTTGTTTATAATTTGAAAGTGTTTGTTATTTATTGTAACTCATTACTAGAGATTCCAGCAGTCTTAATCAGTAAACATTAACAAAAACAAGACGAGCGTTAGCTGCATTTCTTCAAAGGACATCTTAACACCACACAAGCAAACAAGTGGTTTCCTACTATACAAGAGTGAAGTAATGTGAGGGTGAAAGTGTCATACTTGTTTATTACAGCAGTACATCTATTAAATTTCAGTATTTAATGACCTTTAAAAATACACTTTACCATAATTGTTGTACTTTTAAGTGCCAAGCTAGTTATAATAGAACTTTCAAAAAAATTCAAATGTCTTTAATTGTATGTTAGCTTGACTGACAGTAAAAGTAAAATATATATATATATATACAAATACAGTATCACAGTACTGAAGACTCATCCAAAAAAGTTTTTTTTTAAATTTTGTGCGCTCATGATTAAAAAAGAAAAATATCTTTTGTGACTTTGCTCACTGTTAGCTACATGCCATTGTGTTAACAAAAGTGACAAATTTGTGGTGTTTTCATCACCTCAACTTTAGTAAATCTACTGAAAACTCACCAGATTCCTTTAAAGAACCTCATCATTTATTAAAATAGGCAGAGCCTGAAATTTGAAATATCATTATCTTTAATATTTTTATTGCTTCATGTTTGTTGTGATTAAAATATGGGTTGATGCCCAAATTAGGTCTCAGGCAGGTTAAGTTGACACCTATTTGAAAATGTATCTGAATTTTTAATATTTGTAAATGTTTCTACATGAGTTCTGTATAAATATGTTGTTAAATAATCAAAGAATAGAAAAGAAAAATGCATGAGTCTGTTCAGCTAATGGCTCTTTTCTCTTCATGTGATGTAAATAATTTCCAAACTGTCATAGAAAACATTGCAAACATGAGACGTGCTTTAAACCCAGATTATAATTCAACAGTCACTTTATCTGTGTATATGTGTATGTATAAGGTCATATATGACATGTATTGGTATATGAAGTATGTTATGTTGACTTCTATAAAGGATGTTATATGTGAGCCTACAGTACATTCTCCTAATAAAGTATTACTTTAACATTACCTGCGCCCATGTTTGTCAGTCATACAGTACACACAGCTCAGAGTTCAGGTAGTATCACAGGAACCAGTGATGGGAAGAAAAGCATAAGTACATTTACTCTAGTACTGCCTTACAGGCAATTGAAGTGTTTGTACTTATCTTAAAGATTTTAGTTTATGTTAGAAATAACCCAATTCTTTTATTGGAAGCGCGAGAAGTGAAAACAGGAGAGGACTGTTTAAAATCAACAGGAAGTTTACTCAAAGCCTGGGCACAGGTGAAGTCCATACAGCGCTGGGATCAGAGAGACAGAGCTCATGCAGGAGATCTGTTCTCTGAACCCTGAGTTACATGTTTTCATTGCATTTATCTTCTTGGGCTAGGTCTGCCCTGGACAGAGGTACAACATTCAGCACTTCGTAATCCTATTGGCCATTTGGTGTAAGCAGGAGCTCACACCTCCTTGTTGGAATGTGGTAAAATCCAGGTATGTGTGTGTGTGTGTTTCTCAGGTGGCAGCTTGATCTTGATCAATGAACACTGAACACTGAGTGGTCTGGGCTGCAGGCCCCCCTGTGTGTGTGGTGCTAATAAGTATGCTAAACTGGCCAGGTGGTTGTCTCAGGTTGTGGGCCCCCTGTCTTTGCAGGACACTCCATGACAAAGCAGAACTTGGAATATGCTAAGTGGGTCTAGGTGAAGGTGCAAAACAGGCCAACAGGTCTTTGTTAAAATAATAGGCCGTCTGGTTACTTGACGGTACAGACATCCTGTCTCTACAGAATTTACAGCATGCAGTTCCAAAGTTTCACTTCGTACAATGCATCAGTCATCAATACAGTTTTAATATGTACTGTATAAACAAGGAAAATAAAGGTATGAAAGGTAACTAAAGCTTATACAGTAACTAGAGCCTATAAGAATCAAATCTTACATTTACTTGTACGCTACTACATTTCATTCGGCTACATTTATCTGAGAGCTGTAGTTATTTGTTATGTTAGGTTATTTTTTAGTTAGATAGATATTCAGAGATTTGTTGTCTAGGACTGTTAGTGCAGCCAGGATGTCTCCTCAGGCTGTTAAATGCAAGGTTAGTTAAAAGCAGAGAAAGGCGGCAGTCAGGGACGAATGTTATTATGACGGTAAAAGTAACCATAATATTTGTCTTAATGTGTAATGTTATGTCAAATTGTTTTAGATACACACCACGAAAACAACAGCCACACACATTATTTTCTTCATGTTTGGTCTACTGCTCTGCTCAGCTGCCAAGCTGGCATATCAGGTGACGTCACGGTTCGACAGCCCAGAAAGGATTAATATTGTATAGCAATGCTTGGTTCGGGGTCTTGCTGCTTCCGGGCTGCTCGGGCAGCCTGGGGGTTGGAAGATCTCTGGACTTGAAGTGTGAATTCTTGCCTGTGACTTTTTGAATAAACCAGCACGGATATATTTTTTATATACTCAAGTGGTCTGAGTCGTCCCTCGGAGTTCCTGGTTTGAAAGAACCGGACGAGGCTTTATAATGGAATAGAGCCTTTAGTTACTTGAAAATGAAGAGAAAATAAATACAAGGTGCTGTTATAGATGATATAAAACTACTAAACACTATGTTGTGTAATAGTATAAAACTAGCTGTGCTGCAGCAGCCACAACATTAAAATGGAGTATTGATGGTCCATACTGTAATGAATAGTATTCTAACTGGCAGAGCCTCTTGTGGCTGCGTAGTGAATTGTTTCACTTATAGTTTAAGAATGATTTGTCAATAACAGGTGCTTCTGCTTAGGTATGATTATAAAGTACTTTGAAGTTTCTGTATTTAGCATATTTTTTGTCTAATTGTATGGCTTTTAACTGAGCTGTTTGACTTTCAAACAGGAAATGCTACCCACTTTATACAGAGGGCTGACCTGGTATAAGAGCAGGGGTCCGAGAGGTCACGGGGTCCATGGGTGGACCAGAGAGTCCAGTGATGTGTTGCATTCTTTCTGCATAATGAGGAAGAAGGTGTCTTGGTTGCTAACATGTTAGAACCAAGTATTTACAGTTTGCCCAGAAATTTGTTACTGCAGTTTTAACCATGTAATGTGAACCATGAGAATTCACACTTTTGATTTTAGAGACTCCATGCTCTTTGCTCCAGTGCTACCCTCATGACAAACCTTGTGTATTTAGCTCCACGACTGTTCAGACACTATGAACAGATAAATCATGAGCATGCTGTTGCAGTCTGAGGTTCAGATTGAGGTTGTAATGAAAGCTGTAGCCTCTAGAGGACAACAGAAGCTTTGATTTCAAACATTCAGTCTAGTTTCTTCCACAGTTCTCCACTCAGAGGTGTGCAATAACTGATTAATCAAAAATGTCCCAGTTCTGATACAGAGTTATGTTTTGCACAGCAGTCAAGAGAAACGACAGAAACAACAAATCATTTGCTTTGTGATCTAACAGATAACAGGAGACCTCAGAGTTGACACTGTTGGGTAAGATCAGGAAACCCAGGCTGAGTAAACTCACCTTTGAGACATACACGGACAGTGGACATTCCCACTCTGCTGTTTTCTGACGACTTGCAGGTATTTGCAAATAGTTGATCAATTACTGATAAAGTTTAACTCTCTGTCGCTGCCAGGCAGTTTCTCAGTCAGCAGTGTGTCTGCAGAGCTCACTGTGTGTTTCTAGGGCTCTGTGTGTTTTCTTCTCACCTTCACGATGAAGGTGAGTGTCCTCCTGATGTGTGTGTGTTGTCTCTGCTGGAGGACGAAGGCTCAGTCCAGATCGTAAGTCAACCTGTTATTTATTTCTCATACATTATTAAGTTTGCATTAGTGAAAAACAACAAACAAGTAATTATATGTGTGAAGCACTGAGGTGTTTTTTTATTTTCTATTTATGAGTTGATCAGTGTATAAAATACTCAGATCAAGCTGTTAGATATTCAGCTGTTCACAATCATTCATGCCCTCTGCTCCTCATGGCTCCAGATGTGTTAAGTGCTCGTGGTGCAGAGCAGTGGTGTGCACAGACTCCAAACATTACTCAGACAGGACACTTCCTCCATTTGCACTAAGGGTTTCACCTCAGTGTTGGGTTAAATGTCTGACACTGGCCCAAGACGTCAGTGTACAAGCCACCCTGTACAAAACTAAAGGCCTGATGAATGGCTGGATTAAACACGAAGATCCTTACCACTAGTAGGCAAAGTGTTTGCCCTGAGAGTTGTGTCAGAGGAAAGACGTTACTTAAACATCTTTATTCCATGAGACAGGTGATGCCAAAATGCCGTGAATACAGTGGCAGCCATCTTGCTTTTTGCAACCACACTCTGCACAGTATTGACTAGAAGTGGAGCAGGCTGCCACTCAAAGCTAGCAAATCATCTGAAAGACACCTCTTTTTATCAAATACCATGTTAAAACAAACTCACCAGAAAAATGACCACTCGTTCACACATCAGTGTGATAGTTTCTACTAAAAACCACAGAAGTGACCTCTAGAAAACATTTATCTGATTTGTACTTTGAGTTTTTAGTTTGGCTCATGTCCCATCCACTAACCCCGAGGGGGTGGGGTTTATGACCTATACCGCAGCCAGCCACCAGGGGGCGATCGGCTCACCGTGGCTTCACTTCTGGGAGCTGGCAGCCTGTTTACTGTTTATACAGTCAGTGTTAAAGACTTATGACATAAAAGCATGACACAACACAGAGTCCCAGTGAGGTGCTGGGCCGCCACGTGCACCAGAACAGCGCCACCTTGACTCTCCAGGTCTTTGAGTCTCCTCGAGGGATGAGCACCGTTCTTCCAGCAGATGTTCCCTCATGTGGTGTTTTGATGACGGTGGTGGAGACACTGTCCAACATCTCCAACATCACCCATAGCTGTTCAACGGGGCTGAGACCTGGTGACTGGGAAGACCACAGCGTCTGGTTCACATCATGGTCATCCTCATCAGACCAGTCAGTGACCCCTGGTGTCCTGGAGGAGACCGCTCAATTAGTCAGGGTTTTTCTTTAGGCTGTCACCATCTGCTTCTGGGTGACTGATGGCGATGGGGTATGAAAGTGATTGGAATTATCTTGTAATCAATAGTGTAATATACAGTGCCTTGCGAAAGTATTCGGCCCCCTTGAACTTTGCGACCTTTTGCCACATTTCAGGCTTCAAACATAAAGATATAAAACTGTAATTTTTTGTGAAGAATCAACAACAAGTGGGACACAATCATGAAGTGGAACGAAATTTATTGGATATTTCAAACGTTTTTAACAAATAAAAAAAATGCACCTGCACTGTGATAGTCTCAGAGGTCTGTTTAAAGCGCAGAGAGCATCATGAAGAACAAGGAACACACCAGGCAGGTCCGAGATACTGTTGTGGAGAAGTTTAAAGCCGGATTTGGATACAAAAAGATTTCCCAAGCTTTAAACATCCCAAGGAGCACTGTGCAAGCGATAATATTGAAATGGAAGGAGTATCAGACCACTGCAAATCTACCAAGACCTGGCCGTCCCTCTAAACTTTCAGCTCATACAAGGAGAAGACTGATCAGAGATGCAGCCAAGAGGCCCATGATCACTCTGGATGAACTGCAGAGATCTACAGCTGAGGTGGGAGACTCTGTCCATAGGACAACAATCAGTCGTATACTGCACAAATCTGGCCTTTATGGAAGAGTGGCAAGAAGAAAGCCATTTCTTAAAGATATCCATAAAAAGTGTTGTTTAAAGTTTGCCACAAGCCACCTGGGAGACACACCAAACATGTGGAAGAAGGTGCTCTGGTCAGATGAAACCAAAATCGAACTTTTTGGCAACAATGCAAAACGTTATGTTTGGCGTAAAAGCAACACAGTTCATCACCCTGAACACACCATCCCCATTGTCAAACATGGTGGTGGCAGCATCATGTTTTGGGCCTGCTTTTCTTCAGCAGGGACAGGGAAGATGGTTAAAATTGATGGGAAGATGGATGGAGCCAAATACAGGACCATTCTGGAAGGAAACCTGATGGAGTCTGCAAAAGACCTGAGACTGGGATGGAGATTTGTCTTCCAACAAGACAATGATCCAAAACATAAAGCAAAATCTACAATGGAATGGTTCACAAATAAACATATCCAGGTGTTAGAATGGCCAAGTCAAAGTCCAGACCTGAATCCAATCGAGAATCTGTGGAAAGAACTGAAAACTGCTGTTCACAAATGCTCTCCATCCAACCTCACTGAGCTCGAGCTGTTTTGCAAGGAGGCATGGGCAAAAATTTCAGTCTCTCGATGTGCAAAACTGATAGAGACATACCCCAAGCGATTTACAGCTGTAATCGCAGCAAAAGGTGGCGCTACAACGTATTAACTTAAGGGGGTTGAATAATTTTGCACGCCCAATTTTTCAGTTTTTTATTTGTTAAAAAAGTTTGAAATATCCAATAAATTTCGTTCCACTTCATGATTGTGTCCCACTTGTTGTTGATTCTTCACAAAAAATTACAGTTTTATATCTTTATGTTTGAAGCCTGAAATGTGGCAAAAGGTCACAAAGTTCAAGGGGGCCGAATACTTTCGCAAGGCACTGTAGTGGCAGCTGAAGTGCAGCCAGGATTGGGGACATGGGAGTCAAATAAACCACGTGTCTCTCCTCGCTCAGGTATCTGGTAACAGCCCCTCTGTCGCTGCGCTTGGACGCGGTGGAGACAGTCCTGCTGCAGTTGTTTGGTTTTTCAGAGGAGGTGACAGCCTATGTATTCTTGAAGACCTCCATGGCTCCAAATCACGTGGTTCTGGCTCAAGAGGTTGTGACCCTGAACGCCCAGAACCAGCACCAGGCTGCTGCCAAAGTCCGGGTTAGTCACAATGCCCACAGAGACAGACAGCTGTAGCTTATCAAAATGTGCCCTTACAAAAGATTTGAATCCAGATGTCACTTAGGTTTCTGTTTCTTTCTCTAGCTGTACCCAGGTCAGCTGGATAGGAGTGTAAGTCACGTGATCCTTCACGTCCAGTCAGCAGAGGTCAACCAGCACCTGTCTGTGGCTGTCAGCCGGACCAACGGCTTTCTGTTCATCCAGACCGACAAGCCACTGTACACCCCGCATCAGAGTGGTGAGAGTTTGTTATCAGATGTGTCACAGTTCAGCTTCCACTGCCTGCAGAGTCCTGGTGTCCTGACTGAAGACATCGTAATGCATCTACAGACCTCATCCGAGTTCATACTTCAACTTATAAAGTCAAGAGGTCCTCATTATTATAACCCCGGATGGTTCAGGTGGTCCTCGTTGAAGGTGTCCTTATCTACTCTTACATTCAGGGGGCTCTCAGTCAGCTGGTCCTCATTGACTCATGCAGGCAGATGCTTCTTGTTCAGGGGTTTGTGTTAACTTATAAAGTCAGGTGGTCAAATAATAGTCACCTTGTCCTTGTTAACCCATAAAATCAGCTACATACTGTGTCTAATTCCAAGAGTTGTATGTTTCCAGTCAAAGTGAGGGCATTCTCCATGAACCAGGAGCTGAGGCCAGCCAATCGCAGTGTCTTCCTCACCTTCAAGGTGAGCGTACTGATCTGCAGAACCAGCATCAGGCTGTTATCTTTCAACTCAGGGTGGTTTCAGATCAGTAAATGTGCCTCCCCAGGACCCCGATCACATAGCAGTGGACAGTGTGGAGATGATTGATGTCAATAATGGAGTCCCTTCCATGCAAAACCCCTTCAGGATCCCCATCAAACCAAAGTAAGGACTTTAAAAACCAAAGTTATTACGACTAGGAAGTGTGGTCAGTGTGACTCCAGGGTGTCTGTAATGTTCTAACCAGGTTAGGGATTTGGACCATCGAAGCCTCTTACTCAGACGACTTTACCACAACAGCAACTACAGACTTTGAAGTTAAAGAATACGGTTTGTCACTATACTGCCGTTATCATAGCATCATATTAATAACAAAGTTTAATGTATAAAATGTGAATTATTAAGTTACTGTCCTTCATCAGTTCTTCCCAGTTTCTCCATCCTCGTGGAACCAGAAGCAAACTACATCAGCTACGGACAGTTCAAATATTTCAGCTTCAAGGTCTCTGCCAGGTAACAGCTCCTCGCCAGGTGAAACGTCTCAGTGCAAACTTCTTCAGGGCTGAAAGAACAGAACCAATCACAGTGTATGAAAAGTACACCTGTACGTAGAGCCAGTCTGTGTCACTAGGACTCTCGTAACGCCCACAGCTTCTGTCACACAGCACGTACAGCCCTCAGCACATACAGCTGCAGTGTGGTCGAGGTGTAGCAGACGCTAAAGCTAAAATGCTGTTGTTCAAGCAGAACATCTGGCTCAGTAACGCAGCAGTTGCAGAAGAAACAAACCTGACATCTCACATTCATAGCGACACTAAACCTCACAGTGCAAACAGCCAATGATCCGGTACAACCGCACAATCTCTCTCATGAAACAACAAATGTAAAGTTTCTATTAGCATCGTGTTCTTGACCCAACATCTCAGCCAATCAGCTCTGAGTTCAGGTGAGAGCCAGGTGTTTCCCATCACGCACCTGCGGCACCTGTTTGCCGTCAAAATGTTCTTGTACAGTATTTGGGTAATGTGGAGATGAAACACCACAGCTGCTGCGTGTTGAGTGCGTCTCCCTGTGCCAGGTACCTCCACGGTGCTCCTGTGGCTGACGCTGAGGTGTTTCTGCGTTACGGCTACATTAGTGGGAAGAATCCTCCGGTGATCATCCCCTCTGTCACCAGAGAGAGAGTAAGGAACAACAGCCGGAGACATGGCGACCATTCATGCTGACACGCAGCTGGCAAACAGTCACAGCAGAAACCTCCTGCCACATTTACTCACACATGACACTTTCATGAAATGTAGGTGACAGTAGCACACGGTGTTTAGATTACTGCCCAAACTAAATGACTGATAATAGGCTTTAGTATATCAGACACACACACGTGATGGTGCTGTGATACATGTTAAACTACGTGCTGAGACTCAGCGGCAGTAACACTGAGCAAGAGAAAGCAAAGCTGAAGTCCAGCTGTTTTTCCACGTGACTGTCGTTTGGGAAGTTTTGTGAGAATTTTCAGCATGTGGGCTGAGAAGTATCAGATATTCTTCAGGACAATGGATAAAGTGTGGTTTTATTCTGCTCACTATATGATGGTCAGAAATCACTTTGAAGGAGCCATGTACAAACTGTTCATGTTAAAATCTTTGGTTGACATATGGTTAACATTTAAGTCTTAAATATCAACACCAGCCTCAGAAATGAGGCGTTTTACACACAGGGTCAGTGTGTTCAGTGTGTGTCTCCTTCAGTTGTCCTCAGCAGGTGAAGTGGACGTGACTGTCAACATGGAGAAGGTTCTGTCTAAACACGATGGACCAAAAGACCTCGACGGCATGGTGGGGAAGTACCTGTACATAGCGGTACTACTGCAGGAGGACACGGGTACACACACACAGCCATATCTGAAACACTTAGCCTAATTTTAATCAATGCTACGCCCACGTCCCAGGCTTTAACGCTCAGCTCTGGTCTTGTGTTGCTGCTTTCCGTCCATGTGTGTCAATGCCATGTACCCGGCTCCGGTGTGAACACCACTGAGCTCCTAAACTGCCACACATGCACACATGTACAGTAACTGAAATGTGAGCCACATGTGCACATGAATAACAACCAGGTGGTGTGTGTGATGGTCAAATGGCCCAGTTTCCTCCCAAACCACTGGGTTACAATATATTCCTCCCAGTTTGGCCTGATCAGAAGTTTCTCCATAAATGTCCACCACATGTGAAACATCCTGGTCTCTCCACTGACCCCATCACTTTTGGTTTGGTCTGTTCACACCTCGGTGGACACATCAGGGCTGAGTCATGGGGAGGGAAACTTCAGCTGGGATGTGGACGGGGCCACTGTTTCAAACAAGAGCTGTAAAGATTTGCTACCCCTGTCTCTCAGGTGGCATCACTCAGGAGTCAGAGTTTGCTGCAGTGAAGTTTGTTAAGTCGCCGTACAGCCTGAGTCTGGTGTCCACACCTCCCTTCATCAAGCCTGGACTTCCTTACAACATCCAGGTGACTCTCTGCTGTGTCACTGCCTGAATTCACCTGGTGAGCTGTCGACGGGTGTAGTTCAGCCGCACCAGATGTTAGCACAAATGCTAGCTTGCTAAGCAGCTGCTGGCATGTATGTAGTATCAGGCAGCCTCCTCAGTATTTCTGCTCTCACCTGGTTTAGGAAGGGAACATTCTCACTCTCATCATGTTTGTTGGTTGCATCTGGTTTTGTTTGTGTTTGTCTAGTGCTGCTTGTTCTCTACATGTTGTTTACATGTTGCTTGACTGTGTCTGTTTCTGTGCAGGTGCTGGTGAAGGACCACCTGGACAAACCGGTGAAACGGGTGGAGGTTCGTCTGGTGGAGCGACCCCTGTTCACAGAGCAGGGAGCAAAAGATGACATGCCCTGTACAACCAGCGCCAACAGCCAATCAGACGGCCTGGCTTTCTTCATCTGCAACACACCGAAGGGGGGAGTCAGGGCGGTGCTGAAGGTGGGGGGTGGGGGGGTCATGTTTGTTAGAGTTGCAGGTTGTTGTTTATCTGCTTACATGCTGTTTGTTGCTGTTGACATGTTCTTTACACAGCATTGGTGTGTTGTTGTTGCTATTTACCTGTTTTTTTTTTTTTTTACTCTTGTGGCTTATTTGTTAGTGTTTATTTCTTGTTGATTTATTGTTTACATCTTATTTACATGCTTTGTTTTGATTGTGTTTATATGCTGCTGTTTGCTTGATAACTTGTTTTTCAAGTCAAATCCATCTTTATTTGTTTAGCCCAAAATCACAAATCGCAATGCGCCTCAAGGGTTTTGCTGTTGATGTTTCTTTGCCTGTTGACGCAGTTTGAGACGGTGGACCCTAACCTGCCAGTGGCCGCTCAGGCCAGTCTGACCCTGGAGGCGAAGTCCTATCACTCTCCAAACCAGCGTTACCTTTACATTGACCCCCCTCTGCCCGGACACGGCCTGCAGGTGGGACACTACACCAACATCAAGGTGTACTCGGCCACGCCCTCCTACGTGCCCCTTAAAGCCCTCAGCTATCTGGTGAGAACATGCAGCTGATGATGCACACCGTCCTGTTTTCCTGTTAAGTTACTGATGACATCACTGCGTGGGCCCCTCAGGTGCTCTCTAAAGGGAAGGTGGTGGATTTCGGCAGTCGCAAGTTTGCCTCCAGCACCGATAACAAACAGACCGTGAGCTTCGAGGTGATGCCCTCCATGGTCCCATCCATCAGACTGCTGGTCTACTACATCCTGTACGGAGAGGGGACGAATGAGCTGGTGGCCGACTCTGTTTGGCTGGACGTCAGAGACAAATGTGTCAACGGACTCCAGGTACAACAACATGCTGCTGCCCCTGGTCACTGTGTTTGTGCACGTCACCAATTTGATGTGATGTGAGAATTTCCCTCTTGGTCCCTACTGACTGCTGGCCTGGGGAACAGGTTTGAGTCGCCCATAGCCCAAAGTGCTCCTGGGAGCTGCTCAGGCTGGTCAACCTCACGATGGCAGCAGTGCAGGGCTTAGTTTATGGGTGAAACATGGAGAGAACAGCGAAGTCCCACATTGTTGCACAGCAGTTTTTTTGTCTGAACATTTTTGTGTGTTTCTATTTGTTCTTTGTTTTGTTATGTCACAGTGCACTGACGGTGTTTTTAACCTGTGTGCATGTATGTGTCAGACTGATCTCTCATATCGTAAGCGGGACTACAAGCCAAAGCAAAACCTCCAGATGGACATCTATACCAATCAGGATGGTCTCGTGGCTCTGTCTGCTGTGGACACCGCCCTCTTCATGCTGCGGCCCACCTACAGAGACCCCGTTACCATGGTAACACTTAAACCATCCCATTTGTGTAGCTTTACTTTCTCTGTTAGACACAAATGCAGCCTGTGAATAGTGTGGTGAGCCTGAGTGCAGTGCTGTGAAACAGTCACCAGCTAAGTAACAGGAAGTACGGTGGCCTGCAGGTGCTGCGTCACATCGAGCACAGCGACCAGGGCTGTGGTGGAGGGGGAGGCAAAGACAGCGCAGACGTGTTCCGATTGGCCGGTCTCACTTTCATCACCAACGCCAATGCCCAGCCATCAGCCAGCAGTATGTCCATCAGTCAACCATTCAGTCACACCTGCCTTTTGGAGGTGGTTTAATGCATGTGTCTGTGCAGGTGAGGCGTGCACAGCAGCAGTGCGTCCAAAGCGAGCTCTGACTGAAGAGGAGAAGGCAAAGAAAGGTCAGACTCCACCACGAAGAGACAGAAAACATCCACAAACAGACACAAAACGACTATAATAGAATATTCACGGTTGACTCGACCAAATAAACAATGCAACTGAAATGTTTATATTCCCTTTTTACAAATACGCTCTTCTCTTTAAAATTCAAATAACTGTCTGCTTTTCTGGGTTTTACCTGCGTATTTGTTACATATGGAGGCAACACATAGCACGCGCCATGTTACCTGCGGTCTGAATAGATGTGTCTCTGTCCGAGAGCAGCGGAGACCTACGGTCGGCGTAAGGTCTGCTGTGAACAAGGGATGAAGTACAACCCAAAAAGTGTGACCTGCAAGCAGTTTGCCCAGCAGACTTACAGCAAGTACCCTCTGTGCAGAGACGCCTTCAGAGAATGCTGCGAGTTCATCCAGGATCATCTGGACAAGAACCTTATCCTGGCACGCCACGGTCAGTATGGACACACACCGACAGCATAGAGGTGTGTGGTCGGCTGCCTGCTGTGACAGGTTGTTATGCTAACATCAGCTGGCATCTCATAAACATGTTCCTGTAATACTCAGCCTAAAGCCCCACCCACTCTGGAGTTTGGTCTGCTGGCTTTAATATGGTCTGGCCAGTAATTCTCTGTGGAGATGTACTAACAGTGTACACAGCTGGCTGCTCCTCCTGTTGTTTTTGCTAACCTACCACATGCTACACATGCCACAGCTGCATTAATGAAGCACAGTGAAGGTTTCACACCACCTACTCCTGTCACGTTCCTCCTGTCTGAATCCAGTGTGCACTGACCCACACTGTGTACTACTATTGTGCAGTCCACTTGTCATATGCCTGTATCACTGGTGTCTGTGTGTGCAGCGCTGGGCGCGGACTTCGGCCTGCCTCCTCTGGTGCGGAGCTACTTTCCAGAGAGCTGGCTGTGGGAGGTGCATCATGTCAGGTGACCAAATCAAACACACCTCAGAGTCTCTGTTTGTTTGTTTGGACAAATAAAATCAGCTTTAATGAAACAGGACTAGGGCAAAAACCAACTCGTTAATGTCCACCAGAGCCCAGGGACAGTGGAGCAGGGCCATGGCCTGATTTCTTCTGCTCAGCTGGACCTCCTGTTTTTAGTACTGAGGACTGTATGAGTGTTGTCAGTTTGTGCCTGTGTATTTTGTGTCTTCAGGCCAGGGCAGATGTCCGTCAGCCGGACTCTACCAGACTCTCTCGCCACCTGGGAGATCAAGGCCGTCAGCATGTTCAAGAACGGTAGGTTTCTCCTCTACTGTGCTAAAAGCTGCTTCCCCTAAAGTCTCTTTGGCCCAGACTAGTGAGACTCCAACCAGACTGACTCTGTAAACTGCTCCTTCTTGCTCCCTGCATCTCCCATCCTGTTTCCTGGAGCTACGATGTGAACTACAGAAGCCTGGTTGGGACAAATTTTACAAATGCAGCCTCCAGCCTGAAGCTAATGTTAGCTGGCTAGCGTGTCCCAGCTCTATAGCCACACAGTGTGAAGTGATGTAGGATCCTTAGTTTCTACGTGTGACTGCTGATTGTAGAAGATGTGTCTACTGCGTCGTGACAACAGATGGCCTATAGGGAACGGAGCACTTCCTCCTCTCTGTGTGTCTCTGACAGGTATGTGTGCTGCGGAGCCGGTCCAGGTGTCGGTCAGTCTGCCTCTTAGCGTAAATGTCCCCCTGCCCTATCAGGTGGTCAGAGGAGAGCAGCTGGAGCTGATGGGCTCAGTGTATAACCAACTGCCCCACAGCATCATGGTAAAAATAATGGGCACCACATTCAACTATGTATCCCATGATGCTGTGCCAGCGGCTCATTTTCAAAGCTGAAGTGTTTGATTTCGACTGTGGTCTCCTCCTCAGTACTGTGTGACGCTGACGGTCGGCCCAGCGCTCTGTCTGCTGCAGTCCCAGGTGACCACAGGGAGGGAGGGGCTGCGCTCCACGCCCTGCCATTGGAGCCAGCTGTCTGTAGATGGGGTGGGCAAAGTGAACTTCACACTGCTGGGCCTGGAGCCTGGAGAACACACCCTGACCTTCACCCTGAAGACACAGGGTGGAGGCAGAGACGTCCTGGAGAAGAAGCTCAGAGTGGTGGTGAGTTTTATGAGTTACATTCATCACATTTGTTAGAGCTCAAGGGTGCACACGGTGAGGTCCGGTGACTAAAGTAGCCTAAAGCACAGAGGTCCAACTGCTTTTTACTAATGTAACCTGGGATGTTTGAGTATAAAGTCAGTTCCTACGTTTTGTTTGCAGCCTGAAGGAGTGAGGAAGGAGCAGTTTTCTGGAGGGAGACTGGACCCACAGGGAATCTACGGTATGTGGGCCTGATCTGCATCCCCAGGATCAATGGCTCTGTTTGCTGACATCTCAGTGTCCCGTGTTGTCATAGGGTCAGAGAAGAGAACAGTGGAGCTGAAGAACAAACTGCTGGCCAATGTGGTTCCCAACACTGCTGTGGAGAGGATGCTGAGCATCAATGGTACGACATGCTGAGCTGCTACTGGAAACGGATGTGAAAGCAAAAGCAGCACACGCTGAAAAAAAAGAGTATAAATGACAAACCCGGGCGACTCCATCTGCTGATACGAGCGGCCTTTATGCTGATGTTTTACAGCAGCAGCTCTGTGTTTCAGGTTTTCAGTGCGTTCTCAGCCGAAGACAGAGTTGGAACGCCATCGTGCTCTAGCCTCGATGCTGTCAGGCTCTCAGGATCTCTGTATTTATAATTAAAGACAGACATATAAGACTCACTCACTGGAAGCATGTCTGACTTGCAGAATTAAGGAAAAGTAGTTTCCAGCTGAAGAAACATGCCCAGTGTGCTGCAACATGCTTTAGAAAGGCTCAACCCACAGAGCATTAAAACTGAAGGAGCAGGATTAGAAGCTGCTCTCACTGTCAGGCGTCTCGTATGATCCAGGAGTCATGTCAAAAATGTAATCTAGCTCAATAATCACCTTATTTAAGTGTCCTGCTGCTGCTCAGGGGTTACTGCATCACAAACACTATAGGAAACTATAGATCATGTTTAAAAGTTATTATTTGAGAAGAACTGTGTAATACAAGCATTTTAAAAGTGTGTTTTGTACAAAACTCATAATCAAACTGCTTTTCACTCTGTGCCGTGGAGCTTATGACCTCCCCCCCCGTGGTGTGTCGATGTAACTACACATGTAACCTCTGTGTACCAGGTGATGTTCTGGGCGAAGTCCTGTCAGTGATGCACAGCCCTGAAGGCCTCCGACAACTCATTAACCTGCCGGCCGGGTCAGCAGAGGCAGAGCTGGATGGACTCCTCCCCCTCGTCCAGGTGTATCAGTACCTGGAGACGGCGAGGAGATGGGACATCCTGGGCGCAGACGTCCGGAAGAACTCAGCAGATCTGAGACGAAGGATCAGAGAGGGTGAGGAGGCGCTGGCAACACGTGATCTGTATCATTTATGATCACAATGATAATAATAATAATACCAGTGTTACAAATGGCTTCACATGAGACAGTGTATAGAACATAAACATGAAAATGATTCACAGGCTCTCTGATTAAAAAGGAGTTTCAGGAAGTGATTTTTCACTGGCAGGTCATTCCAACAGCAAAGTCCAGGTCCCCTCTGGTCTTGCGTCTGGACACTGGGGCTGTCGTGTAGAGCCTTCAGTGCAGCCAATAAAATCTAAAACTCGATAATAAAACAAACCGGGAGGCAGTGCAGTGACACTAATAGTGGAGTTGTCTTCTCCTGGTTTTAGTTGCAACCCCCGGGGATCTAAGAGCTCCACCTCACTGTGGTAGGACCAGGAGGAAGAAGAAAATAAAAAAATGAATGGTCTGTAGCGAATAGAGCACTACAGTTCAACACGCACAGTAATGCCACAGAAATCTGAATCCAAGAACATCAGGAGGGAGAGTACAGCTCATACAGGAAGTAAACTGCTGATAATACTTACACACTGTTATGTAATGAAGGTTTTACTTGTGCAGTACTTTCACATTTCTACTAGTACTTCATTAGAGGAGTATTTCTTCCACCAATGCTCCTGTCAGAGTTCGGCTGAAGAAAACGAGTTAGTTGACGGCTGCTCGGTGTGAAGCGGTCACAGTTTCTACACTCTGTGTTTGTGCAGGTCTCGTCAGCATCAGTTCGTTCAGAGGTGGAGACGCCAGCTACAGCATGTGGATGAAGAAAGACCCCAGCACCTGGTCAGGACACACTCACCTGAACCTGACACTAAAGTTTAAACCAAATCCGAACCATCAAACGGCCTGTAGCAGTCATGACACCTGGACACTTTGCAAAGATACTGAGTTTTCATACCAGCTTCAGTCAAATCCGATGGCCGTGATCAGGGTTAGACTCAAACTGGGCGGCATGAACTGTTCAGTTTCTGTTCTGTATCAACTGTTAATATTTGTTGTTGGAAAGTCAATGAAATAACTTGAAAAATAGACGAAACCCCACAGAGACACAAGACTGCTGCAAAGGCACAAAACACCAACAAACAAAAGCAGTGTGACTGCAAAGAGACACACAACATCCCCAGAGCCACAAAAATACTACAGAGACTTCACAAAGGCGTAGAACGGCCAAAAAGAGACACAAATTGAACACAAAGATGCAAACAAACAACAAATGGGTGCAAAACAACCAGTCACAAAGACCACTGCTGTTTGGGTGTTGGTGGGGACCTTTTACACATCAGTGCCCAGGGGCCTGTTTTCTCATGGTCCATCCGTGCCTCTGCTTTGTCTGTCAGGCTGACGGCTCTCGTGTTGAAGACCTTGTCTGCGGTGGACCAGGTGGTGTCTGTGGACCATCAGTCTCTGTCGGAGTCTGTGGCCTGGCTGATCTACAGCACTCAGCTGGAGGACGGGTCCTTCACCGAGAGCTCGTCCCTCAGAGCCAACAAATTCATGGTCAGCAGCACTTCTCTTTGTCTTAGACTGAGAATCGCCCTCCTCAGGGTTAGACCACAAGTCTGGCTAAATTTTCTCGTGCTCTGATTGGCTGCAGGCTGCGGGGACGAATCCAGTTGAGCAGTCGGTGTATCTCACGTCCTTCGTGCTGATCGCCTTACACAGAGCCACAAGCATCAAAGACCCAATCCTGCAGCTCCGGGTGAGAACAAACGTCTGTCCTTCTGTTTGTCATCTTCTCATTCTTCTCTTCACTCCTCCTGCAGAACCAATGTTTGAAACTCTGGAGCTGGTAGTGTGCATGGGGACTGTTCCACCTAGAGTATACTGACAGTATAACCATATGAGATCTAGAGTGGTAAAAACATCGGTGAGCTCCAGGGACTGAGCAGGTTTCTCCATTAAATGGTCATAAAGTGCTTGTACAGATCAACAGTGACCTTGATCCCGAGTCTTGAGGCGCGGCTCACACCAGATGGTGTCGGTGCAGCCCACAGCTCCAGTCAGGCTTCATTGGACATTAGTCGAGGGGTTCACACACCGTTTCCAAACTTCAGTGGGAATATTTCAGTGGTGTGTTCGCTATGGACAGAAACAACACAGTCATTAGTGTTTGTTCTTTATTGTAACTTAGATGAAGATCTGACCACAAGACAAATTCACCTATGAACACAGGTAGTTCTTGCCACTGCAGGAGGTGTCCAACAATGGAAATTAAATAAATGCAAACAGTTGCGCTAAAGCATAAAGTCATTCCTCACATGAATCCATCAGTTCATTGTATGTATCTGATTCCAATCATGAACAAATGGTCTGTGTGAAGATTTGATTTCATAAACGATATTTCTCCTCCTCACTCGTGCTTTAGATAAATATTCAGGAAAGAGAAAAACCTGGTCAAACAGGTTTCCAGTCAAATCTCATCTTCAGTTTTAGATCATAAACATTTTTGTTCATGATATAAAGGGCAGTAAGACAGTATTCACAGATCATTTCATCTTCTGAGTGGGAACCACATCTGATCTGTGCTCAGACCTTTACACAAGTCATTCTTCACATATTTGTCACATTTATAATCTTTTTCTGAATGAAGTTCTTGGTTTTGGCCTTTGCAGGAGTTTTTCTGAATGTGAATGCGTTTACCTCTGACCAGGTGTTTCAGCTGCTCCCCCTCCACATTAGTTTTCCTCAGATCATCCAACACCACCATCAAAAAGCAGTTAGCTAAACCCACTTTAAGGTTGCATGACTTTCCTTTTCATTTGTTTTCATTCTGCTCTCTCAGTTCCATGATGACAGCATGAGGTCTGCAGCAAACTACATTTCCCAGCATGCTCCAGGTGTAAAGAGTGTGTATGTGCGTGCGGTGGCGACCTACGCTCTGACCCTTCATGACCCCAACAGCAAGGTGGTCTCCCAGCTGCTCAGCAGCCTGGAGGCCCTGGCTCGACAGAAAGGTCTGGCAGTTCTACCACCTGTGGGCTTAAATCCATGATCAGTGAATCAGTCGTTTTATTGCTCAGCAGAATATATAAAGAATAGTATTATGGTGACATCTACGTGTATTGCACCTTTAAACAAAAATGTTTCACATGTGTGAGTACGGATACGAGTTTTCTACAGTGCAACTGAGGACATTCCCGCACTGCCGGGACATGCTGTCCGGTCCTCACACTTTCAGAGGACTGTTCAGGGTTTTGGGGTTCAACTTTTTAAATTGTGATGGTCCAGACAAGGGACTAGGGAATGCATTATGTTAATAAGTGTCCCTGTAAGAATAGAAGTACAATCGTTTGTGTGTGTGTTGTACAGGTCACCCCGCTGTACTCAGGTACTGGCAGGAGTCTAGCATCACAGCTGATTGGCTGAAGCCCGACCAGTCTAGTGGACTGACGGTGGAGACGACAGCATACGTCCTGCTGACTGTGCTGCTCAAGGTGCCGAACCTCTGAGTTAATAATGATCATCTTTATTGGTCGAGTAAGTTGCACACACAAGGAATTTGTCTCCGGTACAGAGGCAACCGTCTGCGGCGCCAACTCAAACACACATTCTGATGGCAGCAAAATGCTGCCCTGGCCATCAGGAGCAAGTTGGGGTTCAGTGTTACTATGGAAACTAATATTACTGCACAACACATTATGGCTGTTTCAGACTCTACACAAACTACATAAATGCAGCTGTATATGCAAGGGTGAACAAGTATTTATGTACATAAGCAGTGGCTGCTCTGCACCTGGGCAGATGCAATACACCACTCACCCAACAGGGGGCACTGGCCTGTGGTCCTAGTCAGATCATGTGATTTGCATCATTTTTGCTTCTGCTAAATTGTTGCCGGTAAAAGAAAAAAGCAGCATGCGTTTGCCATATTATGTAGATGCTGATGAAAATAAACAATGTGGCACAGCCCAGCATGAGCACCCCTATTGGAAAGGTGTCAAATAATCGCGTTACAAAACTTTGGATGCCACATTTTGCTACGTAAGTACATGCTGAGCCCTCTAGGTGTCCCTGGAAGCAGCCCCAGCTGTGTAGCTTGTGTAGAGCCACTATGGCCCCTAACCCTCCACACTGGAGATAACAAGTGCTTTTTGTGTTGAAGGGGCGGATCCCCTATGCCATCCCCATCCTGTCCTGGCTGACCCAGGATCAGCACTACGGAGAGGGTTTCTACTCCCCACAGGTGTGCACTCACACACTCAGCAGCACAGGTGTGCTTTCCTTCTGCACATTTGACCTTTGACCCCTCTCAGGACACAGTTCTGACTCTGGAGGCGGTGACGGCGTACAGCAGAGTCATCCCTCGAGCTGTTCTTAGTCAGGACATCAACATCCGCTACAACAGGAAGGGACCGCTGGGACGAGTGCAGCTCAGCCAGAGCCGACATGTGGCCACACCCATCCAGGTGAGACAGGTTTGCCATGGTGAGACATGGGTCCAGCCTCTGCGCTGTTGCTAATAACTATGGATGTGTTGGAAGAGCTGCATATAGCGCCACTACAGCTAATTTCTCCCAGTGGCCACTGGTGGTACTGCAACACAAAATCCCCCTGTGGCCCAAAAATTCTTTGCTCCATAGTCCACAATGATAAGACACATCTGTCAAACTGGTGACAGGACCCGTCAAACTGAAACCAGGCCAGTTATCACACTGTGTTATTCCCATTGTAAAGGCTATGGGCCAAGTAGCGGTGGGGGGTGTGTGGGGTGAACAGCAGTACTGAGCATGTGCTACACAACACAGAAGCAAACCTGGAAGAAGAAAAAGGCTTTGGCGTATGCGCCAAGGCAAGCGATGTTCTGTGGAAGAATGGGCACCGTTTTGTATTTCGCTGTACATCCATGGTGATAACCCTCTCCACCGTTTGTCTTCTTCTACCTGTTAATTATTCTTCCAGGTGCTGAAGAATGATGACATCATTGTGTCCACAGGTTATGGGACCGGCGTGTCAAATGTGAAGGTGGGTGTGGTTTAATTCATCTTTGGACATTTGGCCCCTGATATTTCCCAGAATGCCCTGACTGTGTTTGCAGATGAAGACAGTTTACTATGAGACCACCTCGTCCACAGAGAAGTGCAACTTTGAGCTCTCAATAGAGATGTTCAGCGCTAATGCCTCCAATAGTGAGTAGCTGTACATCCGCCTGCATGTTGACCTGTGTGTGTCACTGGAGTAAACTTCTTCTTCTCCTCAGGTTCCACTATGCGCACTCCTCACCTGGTCGCCTGTGCCAAGTAAGAAAGCTGAAACCAAACTCGTAGATGATGTTGATGATCTTTTTAGACTGATAGTAGTATAAATACTGATCCATGCATGGTGCTACTGTGGGCGTCTTTACAGACAATCACTCCATTACATAAATGTCTTTGCCTCTTACATGTTCTCCATAAAAGTATCGACAGCAGTTCTTTACTTCAACATGACTCCGCTCTGAACTGAATGTGTCAAATTAACATAAAGGCTTAAAGGTTGAACAGAGGTTAAATGCACTGTAATGAGCTTGTCACCTCATTTCTTATGCCGAAGGGGAGGAATCTGATTAATAAACCACAGAATGGAGTAAATAAGCCACTTTTAAGTTGTTGAAGAGCTTCATGTCTGAGATCAGCTCAGAAAATCACACGAATCCTCTGTGTGTGCTGCAGGTACAAACCTCCTCCTAATGAGGTGTACACAGAATCCACGCTGACGGTGATGAAGATCCAGCTGCCGACAGGGGTGGAAGCTTACCTGGAGGACCTGAAACAGGTGAACCAGAAATTCAAGTGTTTTAGTTTCCCAGTGAGAGACTGTGGCTCCAGCACTGCTCAGAGAGCAAACTCTGTAAAGTCATGCACACGTTTTTGCAATTATGTGAATGATACTTTGTACAGCTGACAGGACAATCCCCCACCCAACGCCCAACAGGGCTGTGTCTCCAGAGCAGTGTCAGGTCTCTTCTGTCGGAGGAGGAAACCTCCTCCGTCCAAACCAGATCCCCTCACTCTGTGCAACTTGCTGTGTCCGACCCACTGTGTCGTCCTCATGAAGCCCTTCAGTGACCTAGAGCTGCAGCCATGAGTCAGTTCATTGTTAGAAAATGAACCAGCAGCTATTTAGAAGCAACAGTCACCAACATGTTCTGGTTCCACCTTCTTTAATGTGAGGAGCCATTCTGGGGACAAAGTGATCAATCAGATCATCAGGACAGTGATCAGCTGATTGATCAGTGGCCCTGCTGGTTGGGTCTTCTCTCAGTCAGGAGGCTCCTCTCCTCTTCCACTGTCTGCACACAGTCCATGGACACAAACAGTTGAGTCTGTGATTTTCAAGTTAGGTCACTGAGGTTAATTTCACATGACTCCACAATATTCCATAAATATTTGTCAGCACAGTGAGCTTTTCTAAAAACAAATTATTGAATGCTTGAATAAATATTTGTATAATGCTGATATTTATTCAAACTGTGATGTTATTTATTGGTAAAATTTTTGTTGCTCAAATTGTTAACTAACTTAACTTTCACACACATTTGTAAGGGTTGGTTTTATGTGTGGAGCATGTAACACAAATTTCTTTTTTTTTCTCATTAAACAACACGAGCAGAGAATCCTAGCTCAGTGAAATGAGTGTTCGCTGGTGATGTAAAGGTCTTCAGAGATCCAGATGTTGTCCTGCTAGCTTGAGTCAGACAGTGTGTGTCCTTGTGTTTCTGGAGGTGCAAACCTGCAGTGTAAGAGAAGACTCTCTCAGCATTCTCTGACAAATACCTTGATGTTGTTTTGCAGTTCAGAGACACAGATTCGCCGCTCATCTCCCACTACGAGCTCCAAGGCAGCACTGTGGTCATTCAGCTGGACACTGTGAGTGAGCACACATCCAGTCCTGATCCCAGGTCACACTGCCCTGTGGTGTACATTTGATCATGTCAGACAGTGCACGGGAATCAACACTGACATTAGCATGATCAGTACAAATGTGCCGGGCTTAGCTCAACCGTTCATCACAGGAGCAGCTCACACTCACAGCTGCAGACACTTTAGGGGCACCAGTCAGCCCAACCTGCATGTCTCTGTGGGAGGACACGGAGCACCGGAAGAGAACCTGTAGACTCCAGGTTTGGCTCAACCGCTCATCACAGGAGCAGCTCACACTCACAGCTGCAGACACTTTAGGGGCACCAGTCAGCCCAACCTGCATGTCTCTGTGGGAGGACACGGAGCACCGGAAGAGAACCTGTAGACTGTGCACAGACGGGCCCGGTCACCCACCGGGGTCGAACCTGGAGCCTTCTTATTGGGAGGTGATGGTGCTACTGCACCACCTTGAGCTGTATCAATGTATTTAACAGATTATGAGCGTTGTTAGTTCAGACTGTAACTAGAAAAGAGGCGCAGAAGAAGCATCTTAATGAGGAACTGATGTTTGGGATGCATGAGTGGAAACTCCTGCACCCGCTACATACGTGTTACTGTGACTGCCACATGGTTTTGCATAAATGTTTATGTGGTCAGTAAATTAGGAACCCCTAGCTAATGCAGTCTAATCCAACAGTCCTGCACTACCTCCCTGGAAACACCAGCAGCAGCACAGCTGGACCACCACTGGCCTAAATGGACCAGACCAAACTCACCTAACTTGGTGTAAATCCGTCCAGACAGGCTGGAGGCTTTTTCTCCATTTGCATTTGTCATTTTGAATTTGAATAATGTGTGCTGATGTGTTCAGGGACGCTCTGACATCTGGCTATTATTTTTCAGAAAACACTGCATCAAAAATGTGTGAAGACCCAGTAGCTACGTGGAGTTAAAGTGGAGACCATGGAAAGTCACCTAACTATCTAAAAACTGATCTTAGGTTTTGGAAAATCCAGTAAGATAAATGTCATAATGTAAAAAACAGGGCTATGAAGTTTGTGTGATTTGTGGGAAATGAGCTTCAACATGCAAATCCAGTGGAATCATCTTCATCGCCATAGTATTTGGTTGGATTTATGACACTGTGTTTATGACACAGGTTCCCTCTAAGGTTTTCCTGTGCATTGGTTTCCGGATCAGGACCAGCTTTAAGGTGGATGGAGCCAGTGATTCCCTGTTCACCGTCTACGAGCCTCAGGACAAAGGTGAGATGCACCACCTGCTGTGCACCCTGGGATTTGTAGTCTACCACGTTTTTTTTTTGTTTTTTTTTTATAGTTTTGGAAAATACACAACTGTGTGTTTTGATGTGAGAGGTTTGTGGAAACACGTCAGCAGCTCATCAGTGCAACTGAAGAGGAAATCAGTGTTGACATTTTTCATCCAATCTCACACAAGGTCTCAGGAATATGGAATGCCATTAACACACAGGACTGATTTACATTAAAGGTCATGCTTGCAATTTTGTCTTAACAAAAGTAGGAGATACAAAGTCAGTATCCTGATCTTGTAAATCAAGATTATGAAAGCAAGTCAAAGTTGTGGCTTTTGTTAAAATTAGAAAGTAAAAGTGACTTTTTAAGTAAAAATTACGAGACAGTCATAAATCTGATATAATTGATCCATGGGTGTAAACTCATGTAAAATCATGATTTTGAATTCTGTGTCAAGTCCAAATTGTGACTAGCAAAATTATGAAATACTCCATCAGGATTTTGACTTTCCAGGAAGGTCATACAGATGTTTCCTCTTGTTCACTGTCTTCACCAGATGTTTGACATTTCAGATGGAGATCAGCTTCACCTCTGTGTGTCCAATAGAGGGACAGGTCCTGGATGTGTTTAGCTTAGCTTAGCACAATGAGAACAGGGTGGACCTGTTGGCCTAGCTCCAGCAAAAAAGAAAAAAATCCACCTTACAATAGCCCCACACATCCTGGAGGGATCTCTGTCACTAAAGTGAAAGCCAGTGATTCAGTTTGTCTGTGTTACTCCCCACCAACCCTGTCCAGAGACCAGCAGCACCAGTGAGTGTGGTGTCCTCACCGTGATGTGTGTGAGTCCAGACCCTGGTCCAGCTCATCACTCTGTGCCGTAGACCTCCACTGTTGCCCACCAGCTATTAAACCCCCCACCAGTGAGCCACACCGCTGCACTGGGGGGCAGGTTTCCTCCTCAGGAAACATGGGAGGCATCTGTTTCATGCATGCAGCTCCATTTTGATATAATGGAGGAGAGGAGGATTTTGTTCATGTTGCATTGTTATTTTACAGTTTGTGGCATTTGTGCACATTCCCTTTTGCAGGCAGTGTGTGCACCAAACAGTTCTCCTACCACGAGCAGAAGCTGCAGCGCTTCTGTGTGGAAGATCATTGTCAGTGCATGACAGGTAACGTCCACCTGAGCCTCTGATTGGCTGAGATCAGCTGTCACTGCAGCTTCTCTTCTTCACCTGTTGCAGGTTGATCTCTAGCCATATTTGTTACAGGATTTTCACGTTGTGTATTTTGTATGTTGTCTACATCATGTTTCATTTTGTGTTTTTATTCTGTTTTACCTTGCTCTGCAGCTGCGTGTGCTGCCTACAGAGGAACCGTCGACTTGACTCTGACACCAGCCAGACGCACTGAGGAGACCTGCAAACCTGACATCAAATATGGTGAGAGGGAGCTTTACTATTAATAATTCAAGTTGACATTTAAATTACATGTAAATATGTTTACAACCTAAATCCATCCATGGAAGCCACACAACTGACACTCAGCACAAAGGCAGACCCGCAGTCTCTTCCTGTTTCATTGTATGGGGATTTTAGACAGGGCACTGTGGGTGTCAGGTACGTCAAAGAAACCGACTTTAA